CTCTCTTGCTCTTTTGCTCTCTTCCTCAACCGGCGGCGTACTTACTGGCCGGAAACAGTAAGTTCCGAGCTTAGGGTTCTTTTTTAAGCGTTTTTTTTTTGTGCTTTTAGACAATCTGATCACAGAGAAGAGTAAATAACTTGTTTGAGAAGAAGATAACCAAATCGCTCAAGGTAAGCTTTCCCGCTTTTTTTTTTTTTTTTTTTCAATTTTGCGTAGAATTATGGAACACCACCGGAATTGGATTTTTTCAATGTTGCATATAAATATTGGTGATTTGATTTGAGCAAATAACGTGCCTTTAAGATGAGCCAATATCAAGCCAAGTTTACAATTATCAAAAGCGTCAGTGTCTGCCTATAAGTTTTTTGGTGAATTCTTTTCTTTTTTTCTTTTTGTCCAGTTTTTTGGTGAAGTAAGGGATATGACCCATACTTCGTATCTCACATTTGGCAAGGCTTTGTAAGAATTCTTAACTCTGGATCTTCATACATTTTTATTTACTTGTTTCCTGGAGATACTTCGCTGTGTCAGTTTGGATTGCTGAGAAAAGTGAGGAAAAGGAAGAGGATTCAAACATAAAATTAGTGTCGTTTTGGTTTAGGGTTTAGGGTTCGTTGAGTTTTTAAGCCAAAAAGATTTCCTCTTTTTGCGTTGGATTTTTATGTCCTGAAATTCAAAACTTCTGCATTTTCTCAAAAATAAATAAAAAGGATGGTATGTTTCAGAAATGGTCGATATTGATTTAAGTTGAGGGCTCCTTTAATAGAGTGCATTTGCTTCTCTAGGAATTTTGGAGCAGGAGCAGTGCGAAGGTCATTGAACTTTCAATTAAACTTTCCCCACAAGTTTTTTATCAGGAGCATTCGGATGGAAAATAATAATCACAACTGTAGCCTAAGAGGTGGCAAGGAGGATTCAAGAGGTGCCTTGGTTGTTCTTGAAGGCTTGGATCGTTGTGGCAAGACTACACAGTCTACTAGACTAGTTGCAAACTTGGAAAGGTTAGGGCATTCAGCTGAATTGTGGCGGTTTCCTGACAGAACGACAAGTGTTGGGCAAATGATATCTTCTTATCTTTCCAACAAATCCCAACTGGATGATCATACCATCCATCTACTCTTTAGTGCCAACCGTTGGGAGAAGAGGTTTGTTGTGTTATTCTTTGCAATATGGTATACTCTGTTTCTGAGCTTTTCTATAATAGGACAGATATTGCACTTGTTCTGATTGTTGTTTTAGTTTTTAACTGATGTCAGGGGAATGCAATGATTGAGTTGTGTAAAAATCTGGTTTGAGTCGAGAAACCAATGCAGCATAGTGATCAATAAAATATGTTAATGAAATCATAAGCACATATGTAAGCAGTGAAGCTAACTTCAGTTTTATGGCTAGTGAGGAAACAAGTGATTGATATTTTTGTTTCTGTAGGCTTCTAGTCTGTATGGGCATCCAAAGCAATTGTTTTTACAGGTCCTGGTGCTGGTTTACATCAAATTTGTCAATAACCTCATGTATTCCACAGTTAGATTTCTCAGCTCCCCGAATGAGACCGATATATGGTTGCAGGATGTTATTTCAACAACGCATACTTTAGAAAAGATAAATTTTGAGGTGTTTCCATGTTATGTTTAACTTACAAGTTAAACTGAACCATCTAATGAGTAAGGGCAGAGTACAAATATAAAGCTCAGTATCATGTTTGCTTAGGTTTTCATCATGTGGCATGGTTCTCTTAGGCGGTGCTTTACAAAAGATGGGGAATAACTTATGAGGGGGGAAAAAATCCTTGTCCCTTGTTGTATGGCATAATCATTGGCTTGTTAATCTGTTGAATCCCTATTTTGAGTACTATAAGAGTGTGTACACTTCAATGTTTCCTGAAATCATTTCTTGGATGAAGAATGAGGTGGTCACAAATCAGTGTACTAAATCTGTAATGTTTATGCAGATCATTGATGGAAAGCAAATTGAAAAGTGGAATCACCCTTGTTGTTGACCGTTATTCTTATTCGGGGGTGGCCTTTTCATCTGCCAAAGGACTTGATATTGAATGGTGTAAGGTGGTGAAATGCTTTTTTTTTTACCCCTAATGATGTTTATCTTCTCTATCTGATGGAATTTAAAAACAACGAAGTATTCTTTCCCAGGCTCCTGAGATTGGGTTATTGGCTCCAGATCTTGTAGTGTACCTTGACATACCACCTGAAGTAAGTAGTCATTCTAATGTTTGCAGTGAGGGAAGAAAAACACCAAGACTTAACCCATATTTTGCAATTTTGGATGTTGGATTGTTAATTTTCTGTGTAATTATACATCTAATTTTGAACATGGTTAAGGACTTAATTTCCTCTTTTATTGCTTGTTACTTATATGGTCCGACATATCTTCTGCGACACAATTTTTCACAGTTAATAGCTTATATGGTCTGACATATCCTCAAAAGAAATTTCCTAGATAAGCATCAATTTTGCAGAGTTAATAGCATCCTCGAAATAAAGGAGCAATGTATATTGTTGGCCCTTTATGACTAACTGCTGATATTTTAAGGGGCTTATGCTATGCCGATATATATTGTTTATGAAAAGGATCACATGGGCCTTAGTATTGTGAGGATTTTGAAAATTATATGGAAGCAGAAATCTTTTGCCCTATTGAACTGAAATTATAATTGTCAGAAAGCTGCTGAAAGAGGAGGCTACGGAGGTGAGAGATATGAGCAGCTTGAGTTTCAAAAGAAGGTTGGCCAAAACTATCAGGTCCTCCGTGGTCCCACTTGGAAGGTAGTTCATTGATCCATTCTTAAATTGCATTGCAATAAAGAATCCCGATATTTGCTTCTGATTGTGATGCTATCTTGACCGTGTCATCCTGGATGCAATTTTCAACGAGTTATAAATTGGTACTGGAATATTGAATCTATTTTCCTGTAGTGGCAGTTAAAGAATAAATTGAATGGTTGTTCATAAAAGATAAAAAGAAAAAGAATAAACTGACCGGTAAATAAAGTCACCTCACACAAAGAGCATGATGCCAAATCCAATTTCTTTGCCTGATGTCAAATTTCCTTCTGCTTCCCAACAAATGCTAATTCGAAATCTGTTCCTTATATATAACATCTACACTGGCTGGACTGCCATTATCTGATGAGTACACATTTTATGTTGAAGTGATGCTGCAAGTTGGTATTCATTTTATAGTAACCAAATTCAGGCTTACCGCAGTAGTTGTTGAAACTTTAATCATGAAACAACTAAGCCTGCTAGACTGTCAAAAAAAATTGGTTTGCATTGAAGTTATTATTGGGTGAGTTGAGTTATGTGGATATCGTGAAGAGATAAAATTTATTTTGGCCTGATGCAGATCATAGATGCTTGTTCGCCCATGGAGGACATTGAGGAACAGTTGCAAAATATGGCATTGGATTGTGTAAAAACATGCCAAGAAGGGATACCGCTCTCATGTCTCTGGTCCTGTTAAGTTCTGTTCTCTTGAACAGGGGAGACGCATGTATCTTTCCAGGGTCCAATGCCCTCTCTCTTCCTAGTGAGCTAGCTGTGCAGATTGCAGGGCTTACTGAGTAGTGAACGAACTTGCCCTGTTCTGTTTCGAGTATTTCATCTCTGATTGTAACTTCATAAATCTTTGCATTTCAAAAGTAGGTTTGCGTATCTTATTAATGTATCATCACACTTTGTTTTTTACGGAAATAGATGAGATTGCAAATTTGCTTGAATGAATTTGATTGTAACCATCGCAGTCTGTAGTGAACAAAAACTTACAATTTTTGTGGTCAGGAACAAAATACAAATTTGGACACGAGGGTGGACGCGCATAAACTAGTAACCAAAAACATAAAAGAAATATCCTTTGGTTTTGGGGCTCTTGTTGATCCCCCATTTCAATTTTTTTTTTTTAAACATAAAAGAAATCAACTGCGGCGCTGGTAAGCTCTTATACGCCCGTGGCTGCTGCTCCTTAGATTCGGGCTTAATTGAGATTATAATATTATAATCTTAGGGTTTAGATAACTATGGTGGCATCTATTCAACTTTCTAATCTGTGGTTAGGCGGCCAACTATACATACATACATACATATATATATATATATATATATATATAGAGGCATCCCTCAAATAATTTGAGGGACACCCTTCAGGGTCTTATACGAATTTTTTTTCAACGATCCCAAATTATATATTTTTTAAATCTACATTCATATATCATCCTTGCAAAGAATTAGACAAATCGGAAACCGTTTCAACATCCAATTGTGTCCTACAAAATCAATAAATACGGTGTTTCAAGAAAGTACTAAATTTCAATAACTCAATTGAGAGGTCAAATGATATCATATTCAAGTGATTTTTTTGTAGATATGATCTTTAAATAATTATCTATAAAATAGACGGTTTGGATTAGTGTAATATAATGCGGAGCGGGCCTTACAAGGATGTCCCTCAAACAAGCTTATACCCTCAATGAAAGCTATATATATATGCATGGGCATGGCCACTTAATTGACTCAGCAAAAGAAAGAGTAATTTGACTCATCTCCATCCAATCATCTTATGCCAGCCTTTGATATTAAATTATTTTAATTTGATGCAAAGTTTAAAAATGATAATTAAGCTAAGCTATTAGGAATCAAAAGCTATTATCTTAAAAATGATAATTAAGCTAATCTATTAGATATTGTATGAGAATTTGAAGCCTCGGGAAATTAAGCACGTTTCACGAATACTGGGTGAAGATTATTAATGATTACGAGAGTCAAAAGTTTTAGCAGTTCCTGAAGATTCTAAATTATAACGGCTTGTTATTGTTGTCAACACCATCGACAAATATAAATATATATATATATATATATAGTTTTCCCATCAGGAAAGTGACCTTCAAGTTTATGATGTGATCGTGAATATATATATCAGCTCTAGAGGAAGATATATATATATATATGTCTGATGCTGATGGAAACAGTTACTGGATTAGAAACTGATAAGACAAAATGGAGAAGTATTGATTCTGATGAAGACATGTGCATTACTGGATTAGAAAAGACAAGAAAAAACATAAAACATAAAACATACCAGGATTTGAAACACTAGATGGTGTTCTAACAGAGGTTTTTACATAGCTTCATGCATGTCCCCTCTTAGCTTCATAAGTGGTGATCCACCACATGTTTATCAGCTGCTTTGCGGTTGCTAAATCTGTTTAGATTTCTTCCAAAGCACTCCTCTTCCATTATATATATCTTTTCATCGGTTGCTAGTTAACAATTTAATAATCTGATACTGCTTAACTACGTACCAATATACACTTTCAAGACTCTATTTGAAATTATTCTTCAGATCCTCATCAGAAGTTGGCCGCCTCACAAATTAAGATCAAACCCTGTTACAACAATCCTATCATATCGTTTAGCCACAAAACTTAAATATTAACATATATTTATATCAAAATAAGGAAAGAACCCCTAAAAATGGGATAAGATGCAGTTTCAATGGCGGTTTAAGTTGGGATTGACCATTTATTCAAAACAAAGTTAATCAAACTCATCCTGGTCCCTGCCCCCAAAAATATCAGGAAGAAAATAATCTGTGGTTGGCTAGGAGGTTTGGGGAAATAATATCCTATATCATGAAGAGTTTTCTATTGCCACTCAAGCTCTGGATTAAAAGAAGAATAACTTAAAAGACTACCGCTTGTAGTTTAGAGGTCTCAAGTTCAAACCCCTATGACATCTTGATAGTGTGTGTGAGAGAGAGAACCTCACCTCCCTTTGTAGTTTAGACTATCGCTTGTACTAAAAATAAAAAATAATAACACAGAAGATAGGATTTTATATTTCAAATTCAAAGTTTAATTAAATATTAGATGCCAAGCACAGTAGGTATTGTTGGGAGTCCAGCCTCTATATACTATAAACAATCTCGTAAGTTTGATTGAGACATGAATCAAGTATTATGTACGTCTGTATACTGTATAATTCAAGCGGGTTCCACGAAGCTGAAACATGTATTCACCTTTTTCTTTCTGACCAATAATAATTCATCTGAACATAGCATGCATGCAACTTAAAGTGAATGAAAGGACTATAATGTGCTCGTATAAAAGTAAAATACAAGTTCAATATGTAATTATATATTTTGCAATAATACACGTGCAAAACTCTATTATTTTCTTAAGATTATAGTTCATTTGGGAATTCAAACGTAAATTCTTCATTTCTCAAATAAAAAAGATTGTATTCTGACAAAACAAAATATGAAAAAGAAAATAGTTCCCCATAAATAATATGTAAGAAGAAACTAGATGAAGCCAATGCTAGTATGCTTATTTTTAATAGAAATTTTAGGATTGCATTCATAATTCAGCTAGCAAAGTCACTAGTCACAAATAGGCATTACAATAACGGAGCGATCTAGATGGATAGTTTATAGCAACACAACAGGAAAAAGAAGAAGGCATTAGTACTAATTAATATTAGTGTGGTTTATGATAATTAATACAATAAATTAATAGTAATACATATTATCTTCAAATTAAATGTACTTGTCACTTTTTTTATAAATATTATCGAGACCTACCCCATTAGAGTGATCGATGCACATGGTACCACTGTACACCCAGAAAGCATCACTCATTCACTCACTATACATATCTTGTTTCTTTTTTCCTGTTTGTTAATCTAACTAATTAAAAGAAAATGACTGATTAATATGTTGCTAATTTGTCCTACCTACCCACGAATCAAGTTTTGCCATGCTTATAATCCCAAAAGCAAGTATTGATTCCATTCTCTACGTACACAACTCTAATTGGTGAAGTTGATCACTGCACCCAACTCATACAGATACAGATGTACGTGTATTCTATACATATACGCCTAATAATTATCATGAATATATTTACCTGAGATCTGTTATTCTTGGAGTTCAATCTTCCATTCCATCTCTACTTATCTAAAAAACTAAATGATCGACAACTCAACGGCCCAAAGTGAGGGCAGCCTTAACGTCCAGCCTCCATGCAAATCCTCCACCGTCCATTCTCCACAAATCACAAGGCACCATTCGAGAGTACTTCTCCTTACCCACCATGTATTGCAGCTTTACTTGGCATGTGAACGCCCAATGCGTGTACGGCAACTTCTCTTTTATTGCCAACCACACCGCTATCTCCGATGCGTAATTCCCTTGGCTCACCATCCTCTTAAACGCCTCGTTCAGCCACTGAACCCTATTCTCGCCGTCCGATATAAACCCCGGACACGTGTCTCCCTCCAGATTCCTCATCCTATCTGCGTCCGTACATCTCCCAACCCCAAACGTCCCTTGCGCATTCATGCAAGTGCCTGTCACGCACTCCACTGTCACCCAAGATTTCACCATCATCTGCTGCAACTGCATCCCCACCGTCGGATCTGAACAACCACCATCCATGTAACTGCTCAGCCACATGGGGAGGCCCTGATCTTCCCCTATGGGAGGATTCTTATTATTATTATTATTACTTACCGTACGATCTAAATCGTACCAAGATCCGCCGTCCGTTGAGTGGTCGGTAACAGTACTCTCAGGCAAGAGCTGCAGGGTCCTCCCCACGCCATTAGGAGCAGCTGCAAGGTCGTCTTTTGTAATTTGTTGTTCCTTTTTCTTTCTTCTATTATACCCACTATTGTTCTGAACCCTAACGTATTTTCTCTTCTTTCTTCCACTTGTCAAAACTGAGTTCTTGTTTCCGGTCGGACCTGTAGCTCCGGTATCCACCGGTTTCGGTGCGATCGGCCGAAATCTGAGCATGGTCCGATTCGTAGTAACTGACTTATCTACCTGCCCAGCAGCGCATCTTAGCATCTGCCACCCATCTCCGCCCTCCATATCTACGCCTCCTCCGATCTTCAACAAACAGCCACCTCTCTCTCTATCTCTTTCTTTCCTTCTCTATCGTCGGAATGGGAGCTCAAAATGAAGAGATAATTATATAAGTAGCGGCGGCTGTTGTAGTCGCCAGTGAGGTGAGGGGGCGTGGAGAAAACAAAACAAACACAACAACACTCCACCTGAGTTGCTAGGGCTACACTACACCCTCCAAAGCAACAACGATGGGATTTGATTGGTTAATTCTTTTGGGGGTGTGGGGCCCACTGGGAAAGTAGCAACCCCGGCTGTAATTGATATAGGGTCCCACATCTGATCCAATGAGAGGGCATAAGGTGTCAGGCACTGCCGAAAGGAAAGGTACACGTGGGGCTGCCTCGAGCTTAGCGTAGTAATGTTGGCCTTTGGGGAGGTTCGAGAAATCTTATACGTGGTGGTTTTTCATTCGCAAAGAACATCAAAATTCGGTTTCCCAAATACAACCTCTAAAAGATTACACGCGACGCAACCTACGTGAGACGCACTCTCGGATGGAACATCACATATACTAAAAAGAAAGGGCAACACGCGAGAGGTATGCGAGTGCAATAGATGAAGTTGTTGCTTTATGATGAGGACGCGTGGATGGTCGGATGGCCAAGTGAATCTTTGGGCAAGATATTTGACGTCATACGAGAAAAGCGACAGTTTTATGTTTATTATTATTTTTTCCATATTAGGAATGAAAAATTTTCTATTATTGGATAACCTTTACTGAGCTTCTGCCACGTGCAATATGCTTGTGTTACAACCATAAAAGACCGACAAAATAGTTCTAGTTTTGTCGATTTTAAAATTTACCAATTTGACGTTTCCCAGTGGCTTAACTTAACCCCTCAGTTCCAAATTGTAATTAACTTTACTATTTATATGAATGATTGAGTCTAGACTCTAGAGTATTATTTAATTATTTATATGTTTTTCTTTTTCAAATACGTAATTAATTGTAAGTTTGCAAGAGGAGGAGAAGAATTGGTTTTGATTTAGTTAGTAAAAGTTGAGCGAGGGAGGGCATTACTTTTACTTTTATAACTTGTTTGTACCATCTTAATAAGGAGAAGAGGACAGAACGTGTAGCAACAAGGATTAAAAAAGAGAGAGGGACAGAACGTGGAAGAAGAAGAAGAAAAAAACATCTTTTGGATGTTAATTATTCCATTAGTTGCGTGTTAGTTAGGGGTTTGTTTTTCTTTTTTAATGAGAAGTAAATTAAGTTTTTATTTTAGAATGATGTGTCATCTTTTAATAAGGCAGCATATGAAGAACATAAATAAAACAGACCATAAATTGATTTCCTCTCGTATTTTGTCAATTTTTAAGGAGAAGAGGACAGAACGTGTAGCAACAAGGATTAAAAAAGAGAGAGGGACAGAACGTGGAAGAAGAAGAAGAAAAAAACAGCTTTTGGATGTTAATTATTCCATTAGTTGCGTGTTAGTTAGGGGTTTGTTTTTCTTTTTTAATGAGAAGTAAATTAAGTTTTTATTTTAGAATGATGTGTCATCTTTTAATAAGGCAGCATATGAAGAACATAAATAAAACAGACCATAAATTGATTTCCTCTCGTATTTTGTCAATTTTGAACCACATGGGGGTAGGGGTCTAAAAGATAATTTCGCACGATAAGAAAATGTATGATACATTATACATTTTTAGCATAGTATTAGAATACGGACAATCAAATCAAATCAAATCGGAGTTTCCTTCAACCCGTCTGTGTGCGTGGCTTAATTTGATAGCAACCCCACCTTGTCCTTTTATTTTATTTTCTGTGTATTATTGTTTGTTTTTGAACTCGTTTCCTCCTATTTCTTTCCCTTTTTTACTCCCTGGCAATATGGCAAAGGTCATTTCTCCTCCTAATTATCCCATATATATATATATATTTTAAAGCTTGCTTAATTACTTAATTATCCCATATATAAATACCTTATCTTGGATTGCGCTTTCTTCTGCAACCTCTGTCTCTTACATGTGTGTAGCTATATACGAATACTTAGTCAAAAGCTTTAAGAAGCAAGAATTAATAACATCATTATTTTTATTATTATACCTGATTTATATTAGCAGCATCCGTCTGTTGTTGAAGCTCCCTTAAAGTCCCAAACTAAGCGCAGCCTTGATGTCCAGCCTCCAAGCCAACCCACACTCCATCCGCCACACATCACACGGCACCATTTTTGAACACTTCTCCTTCTGCCACGTGTAGTACTGCACCCTCACCCTGCACGTGAACCCCCGGTACGGATACGGCGGTAGATTCGCCTTCGTCACCAGCCACACTATAACCTCCGCCGCCTCCGCCTGCTGCTCCTCACACTGCCTCACCACCATCCTCTTGTACGCCTCGTTCACCCACTTCACCCTGTTTGAATCGTCTGATATAAACCCCGGACACGTGTCCTTCTCCAATATCCTCATTTTCTCCACGTCCGTACAACCTAACCCTCGTACGTCCATGCACGTGTCTGTCACGCTTTCCACCGTCACCCACGACTCCACGGCCATCACCCGAGGCACCACAGCCATCACCCGAGGCACCACGTCAGTCCGATCTGGACCCGCCGAAACATATTTGTTCCCGACGGACCTGCTCATCTTAGGGTCGTTCAGGTTCATCCACGTTGGTAGGTCCCGGTTATCCCGGATTTTCGGAACCGTAGGATCTATACTACACCAAGATCCAGTACCTGGAAAACCTTGAAAGTCCGTCTTTTCCGGCATCAGCTGAAGAGTGACGATGGCCGAGTCCAAGGAGGCTTTAGGCGTCTCTTCTTCCGCTGAAGAGCTAGTGTTAATTAATCTCCTGCCGCTGCCGCTATTATTATTAGTCTTCCCAACCCTAATGTACTTCCTCTTCACTCTCTTGCTGGTCAAATGCGGGCTCTTTTTGTCCGGCGAAATCGGACCGGAAGAAGACCCTACGGCCGCTGGTTTTGGAGCAATCGGCCGGAATCTGAGCATTATCCGGTTGATTATCGTCTTATCTTGCGCAAGGCTCTCGCCGCCTGCCACGTGCCAACCATCTCCAGCGTCCATCCACCCTCTTGGCAAGATCTTCCTCTCCTTGCCCTTGGCTTGGATGCCTGATCTCTGTCTGTCTGTCTGTCTGTCTCCCTTTCTCTCTCTTTCACTCTCTATCTCTCTCTACTCTCCGGGAGCTGAAGCGATAATCATAGCAGGAGCGTGGTGGCTGGGTGAGGAACCACCACGTGTCTAGGGCACCACTCCAACAGTGCTGAGAACCCATTGGCTGATTCGTTTGACGCGGGGCCCACCTAAAGTTGGCGTATCCTGGAGGAGTAATTGAGTTCTGTGTTTTGGGGGCCCACGTGTTGGCCAACCAAGTATGGGAGGGTGTGAAGCACTCTTGAAAAAGGGGGGACACGTGGAGTTTTGTTAAGGGGAAAGTATCATTTTCTCTCCTACTCAAGTGGAAATGGGTTTCAACTTTCTATTAAGAAAGGTTCGAGAATATGCACACGTGTTTCCACGAGATTAGCCAAAACAAGTAAGATCGGCTTTCAAAGAGGGTTGGGGAATGGAATGTAGGTGCCACGCTGGCCCTGCAGCGCGTCAACTGCAGCCCAGGATATTGGTTAAACAGTGCGACTTGATTGGAGGAGTGGTCGGGGTGGACCACGGACCTTTTCCTTTAATCCATGAACATATCGACGCGTGGATGGTTTGAGACGATGGCATTGTCAGCTAAATTATTTTAAATCTCTTATCAACGCCACGTCTTATTTTGATTGGCCCAAGTGAACCGTCAAATATTTCTACTTCTACTTATTATATTGACCACTCACGAATAATTTTACTTCCATTCCAGGTGTTACAGCTCTTGATGTAGTACTAGCGGTGCATCCTTTGTAAATATTATTAGAATAATGATTTTTGAACTCCTCGGGAGCTCATATTGAGAATGATTCCCAAATTTTTTAGAGGGTCTTTTGACGTTAACTGTAGAATTATTTTACTTCCACATGTTATCTAGTGGTACGGTACTTGTCAATATTAGAAGAAATCTCAAGTCTGATTCGAAGATTTAAATCTCTTATCAACGCCACGTCTTATTTTGATTGGCCCAAGTGAACCGTCAAATATTTCTACTTTTACTTATTATATTGACCACTCACGAATAATATTACTTCCATTCCAGGTGTTACATCTCTTGATGTAGTACTAGCGGTGCATCCTTTGTAAATATTATTAGAATAATGATTTTTGAACTCCTCGGGAGCTCATATTGAGAATGATTCCCAAATTTTTTAGAGGGTCTTTTGACGTTAACTGTAGAATTATTTTACTTCCACATGTTATCTAGTGGTACGGTACTTGTCAATATTAGAAGAAATCTCAAGTCTGATTCGAAGAGTTACTCTTGATAAAAAAAGAAAAATGGCAGTGTTATTGTGATGAGGGTTATGAGTCAGCGTCGATTGCAGGAATTATTTTATAAACAAAAGCCAACACTGAATCCATAATCTGGCCCTTATCTAATATCTACGTTTTGTTCACAGTCATACTTGATTGGACTAAATGGCTAGTAAGGGCCTGACAAGAGTTGGGCGGGAGCCCATTATAGGAAGTTTTCATCAAAACTCGCAGATTCATTCTGTTGTTGTTACTTCTTCCAATATATAGGAGGCAACATCACTCTTTCATAACAGTGACCCAAGCTGGACTCTCACCAAAATAGCTAGTGGAGTTTGGTTGGTAGAACTGTAAACCCAAACATCACTCCGTCGAATCAATGCAAGCTCTACGAGTCTTGATTTACGTGCAAGTCGTGCGACGGGTCGTGTGACTAGAGTATAGTCTGATTAGATAATAGCTGTTGCATGCATGTTTCACCCCAATGCCATTGTAGAAACCAAATAACTAACAAACTAGTTATACATTTTGAAGACGATAGTCCCAAAAGGAGAAATAGAATTTGGCTCTTGAAGAAAATTAACAAAATTCACATGCCCAAGAAAATAAATAAATATTCCATGCGTATGAGGAAGCTTATTATATCTCTTAAAATGACACTCTCAAGGGTCACTCCATCACCAATTACTGATTTCAACCAATTTGACAGGGCAAGAAAACCTTGATTACAATGTAAAAAAAATTATTTCCAAAATAGGTGGTCCTCCCAGAAGCAAAACAGTGAAACAAACCAACGTAAGGCTAGTTCACAACATCAAGAACCAGCTTGCGGGACTTGAGAACTGACCACTTCAATCGCCGGTAGTAAGCAGCTTGAAGTAGCGCAAGAGAGAGAACAAAAATCCATTTGAATCCCATCTGCATTTTTAGGACACACGTCATGTTAGAACTTGAGTAACTTCACCAATGTCAATCAGGGAAAACGACTTAAATGCAAGCATACCAGTTTTCTCTCTTCCATTTCTGGTTCTGCAGCCCATGTCAAGAACGACACAACATCTTTCCCCATCTGCAACATAATATTATAGAATCGTTTGAGCAACCCTTTAAATATAACACACCCCTCCCATAATATATGCATATACTTATATCGTAAACCAACCTGAGCCTCAGTTGCAGGAGTACCATCTTCGTACTCAACAGCACCATCGTTAAGCATTTTAGGCATAGCAATAGCTCCCCCAGGGAAGTAAGGGTTATAGTGCAGACCCTCACGGATCTACAAAACCAGATAATAAGTTTCAGGTTATAGGAATTACAGCACATCCCTCCATTGGACAGAACCATGAACTACGCGGACACCAGACACACATAATTTTTCATTGAATGGAACTAAACACCAAGATGAGGTTCACCTTTCAAAATTTCAAATATCATTTAGTTACAACATTGATTAATACAAATACCAGACAAACACAAAGAAGCAACAAATCGACAATACAGGGACTGCAGGGCCTACAAGCTTATT